ACTGGTATGGTACTTGCTTTCATATAGGTGTTGCATGGTTGCCATCAGCACATGTCATTAATATAGGTGTTGCATGGTACTTACTTTCATATAGGTGTTTGATCAAGACCTATAACGAGTGAAACCCATGTAATCAACCTGCCTTGGCAGTTTATTTAAATTTCGTTGAATAGCTATGATGGAGGGGCTCAAATGCGTCTGGAGTCGCCAGGTAAGACACTCAATTCACGAACCTACAACCTATCTTCACAACAAACTACTCAATTTAACCCGGTCTGTCACACTTTGAACATCGCATTCGGGATCGTTCAAGTCCCATTAATATGGCTCTCATTCACTGAAAAGACGCACTATTCATTAGCAAGCGTCTATTGAAGAAATATCGCGAAAACGCCATTGCTTTCCACGTTGTGTTCTCTCGCCCTTTATAAGAAGGATTGACTCATAAAAGACAAATATGTTTTAAATTAACAGAATTTTGCATTAGGTACGATTAAGTTCGACTATTTTAGTGTGTAAATATTTTTTTTTATTTGTTGCGGTGCAATTTGTATAAAATGTTTTATTTTTCTGTGTTGTGCTGCACATTTTGGTTTGAACATTTCACAAAATCAATGCGGAACCAAGCATTTTGAATTTGTCGTGTTATTAATTGCGGTTCTATTTGATTAACTGCTAATGTATAAATTTTTTTACTTTTTTTGTGTTCTGCAACACATTTCGGTTTGAACATTTCACAATTTCACTATGGAACTAAGCATTTTGAATTTGTTTTGTTATTAGTTGCGGTTCAATTTGATTAACTGCTAGTGTATAAAGAAAATTACTTTCTGTGTTCTGCAGCTTTGAACATTTCACAAATTCAACTGTTCAACTATTAAACATTTTGAATTTGTTGAACAAATCACAAATTCAACTGTGGAACTATTAAACATTTTGAATTTGTTGATTTTGTTAAGTTGGATTATGATTTTGCAGTGAACCAACCACATTGCTCACCCATATTAATTTCATCATTTGATTTTAAATGGTAATGGCGAGGAAATAAAATCAGCACACAATCTAGAAAACTCTATCCAGAACAAAATGCAACCGGGACAATCATACGAGTAATATATGACGTGGAGGACGGTCATTGGTCCGATTTACGTAACACCAACACTGCATTTTTTTTTTAATCTCCGCGAAAATCATTTAAATATGCCCCCAATTTCGATTCGAAGCAGAAATCAGGGAAGAAAAAAAAAATGGAGAAATCGCTGTTGATTGAGATTCTGCTCATCTCGCTGGTTGGAAATTTAGGGGTTTATGCGTTGTACGGACCATCGTCACCCGTTGTTCAGCTAAATCCAAACAATTTCAAGTCCAAGGTACAAGCATTTGCTTTCGTTTCTGTTCTTGAGCTAACCCCTTCTTCATTTTAGCTTGGTTACACTTTTTTCTTGGGATTTTGCGGTGAATTTATCGAGTGTCTGTGGCTTTGTGCATCTGAAGGCGTGAGTTCTAACTGAATCAATGCTGTTCGTGAGTATTTTCTGTTTCGTTCAATTATGCGAGTGAAATGGATCGGATTTAGTCCTCTTTTGTTTTTTTTTTCCTATCAATTTGCTTGTGATTTGTGTATCATGCGGAATTCTTAACTATCAGGTGTATATTGACTTACAATGCAGGTCCTTAATTCCAACAGTGTAGTTTTAGTCGAGTTTTTTGCACCGTGGTGTGGCCATTGTCAAGCACTGACGCCCGCGTGGGAGAAGGCGGCCAATGTCTTGAAGGGTGTAGCTACTGTGGCGGCTCTCGATGCCGATGCTCACAAGTCTCTAGCTCAGGTGCGTTCTTGTTGAGAAACTTGTCTTACTGAATAAGACCATGCTCATCAGAAACTGAATTTCTTGCGTACAAGAATTGTTTTGAAAAGATTGTTTTTTTTTATCATCCTGAGATGATTTCTTCCTTTGACTCTGTAGGAATATGGAATCAGAGGTTTTCCCACAATTAAGGTCTTTGTACCAGGGAAAGCCCCGGTAGATTATCAAGGAGCCAGGGATGCTAAGCCCATCGTCGAGTTTGCATTGAAACAGGTGAATGATTTCTTGTTACCAATTGTGCAGTTAGTTATGCGTGGCATTGTATTGTTCCCTTGTATCACCTTATAAACATCGAACATATAATATTTAAGAAAAACAAAGTATCAAGCTTTTTCTCTGTACTTCAGGCTCTTAAAACAGGTTTCCTCAAATATTTCTACCATTATGCAGAAACTTTTTGCCATCCTTCAGATGAAGCATTTGCTTATATTTATCTTGGTATTTTTTGGCATCCATCTGGTCAATGTACCATACAAACATGAGCTTCTATTAAATGGGTTAAGGTTCCGAGTCAGGAATGATGCCATAAGCCTGGTTTTGCTTGTGAACAGTTTATATGATTTAGAGAATAAGCAGGGTAACCGTTTTCATTTTCTTACTTCTTTAAGGTTAAAGCACTGCTTAAAGACCGCCTGGAGGGGAAATCTGCTGAAGGATCCAGCAAAAAATCAGAACCAAGTGCGTCAGTAGAATTGAACTCGCGTAATTTTGATGAGTTGGTTCTCAAAAGCAAGGATCTCTGGGTTGTGGAGTTTTTTGCTCCTTGGTAAGTTTAACCCTAATTTATTTGCTGATCATTTAACTTCTTCATTACATACTGGTAGTATTTATGGTAATTTTATTTTTTCATCGCATGTTGCACAAACTTTACTTCTTCATTACATGGTTGTATTTTTGGTAATTCTGTAATCATTTCTTGGACCCATGAGATTGCGGTTATCATCAAATCGTTTTTGGTAATTACATATAAATAGGGAGCTTACAGTTGCTAACTAGCTGGTTTCTTATAGACCATCATATTTTTCAAAAGCTTGAAATGCTTTAGCTCCGGGTGGGGTTTTGATGCAAAGAGAATAAATTGAGATGGCTACTTAATTTTGAGACAGAAAGCAACTGTAATTAAGAAAATGGACTCTTATTGGCACTAACATTGAGTGGCAGACTACACCATTTGCTGCCTCGCCTGCTTTGCCTTGTATCTATATCTTATGATAATTAACTATAACTCTAGTTTGTTAAGTTTATTTCATTTATTAGTGCTAACCAGTCCCATTAGAATTAGGATGATTTTCCTTTTAATTTCTTAATTTGCTTTCAATCTCAATGCTCTATTCTGTCACACACTGTCATTTTTAGAGGTATTTTTAAAACTAGGTTAAAATTGCTTGGCCCATTTGCTGCCAATAATGTAATGCTTAAATTTACCAGTCATTTTATAAGCATCTGTTGTTCTTTTGGGTTAACGTTTTTGGGATCATTACTAACTTTGATTGTTCTTTGAGTTTTATGTGATTTGATCTATATTATTGTGAAGGTGTGGACATTGCAAGAAGCTTGCTCCTGAGTGGAAGAAGGCAGCCAACAGTCTCAAGGGCCAAGTGAAGTTGGGGCATGTGGACTGTGATGCAGAAAAAGTAAGTCACCGCTTACAAGTCGTTGGTCAAATAAGCATGTTAAGTACAATAAACATGATTTTCAACATTCTCATAATATCGCTAGTAACTGGCTTGTTGATCGTCTTATTTACCGTAACTCGTCCTGATGATAAAAGAGGGTTAAGTTGAACCATTTGTTCAATGCAACCATTGTGAATTAAGTTGCCATTTTTTTTTAACAATCAGATTTTGCCAGTCCTTGATGAGCAGGTTCAACGTGCAAGGATTCCCTACTATTTTGGTGTTTGGTGCAGACAAAGACAGCCCGTTTCCATATGAAGGCGCCAGATCAGCATCAGCAATTGAGTCATTCGCTTTGGAGCAGCTTGAAGCAAATGCTGCCCCTCCCGAAGTCACCGAATTAACCAGTCAAGTTAGATTCCTATGCTTAACTCCAATCTCCATCCAAAAATCAAGGCGAAAAAAAGAGAAATAAAAGAAAACAAATATATATACATATATATATATATATGTATATATATATGTATGTATGTATAACATATATATAATTTGCTTGAGGTTTTAACAATGAAATGCTGTTTTAATGCATAGGATGTTTTGGAAGAGAAGTGTGGTTCGGCTGCAATATGCTTTGTTGCCTTCCTTCCCGACATATTGGACTCCAAGGCAGAGGGAAGAAACAAGTATCTCGAGCAGTTGCTATCAGTTGCAGAGACGTTCAAAAAGAGCCCTTACAGGTAAAGCAGAATTTTACTCGATTATCCAAATACCATTTTCATGTGACAATTTGGTGAAGGATTTACTTTCTTTTTATGTGAGGGGACTAATGTTTGTGAGAATGCTGCAGTTACCTTTGGGCAGCTGCCGGTAAGCAGCCTGATCTTGAGAAGCATGTTGGAGTTGGTGGCTATGGATATCCAGCTATGGTGGCCCTAAATATAAAGAAGAAAGCTTATGCCCCTCTCAAGAGCGCATTTGAGCTTGAACATATCATGTGAGTATTCTTTCATTCTCTCTTCCTTGCTTCACTCCTTCAATCACAGTAAGAAAATTCAATATATTTTTCCAAGTAATTCCAAATAGATAAACCAAAATAAAACGAATGCTTCATTAGGGCTTGAATCACGTATAGGTGGAACTGTCTCGAACTATACATTAGTTATTTGATATATTGGCATTTTAATAGAGCATTATAGCTACAGATCTTTCTGAGATTCTATCAAAATTGAGAGTAAACTTCATGTTGCTTCTTTTCTTCGCCTCCTTCCCTTTCCCAGAGAGTTTGTGAAAGAAGCCGGACGAGGTGGGAAGGGCAATTTACCTTTAGAGGGCAGCCCTGTAATTGGGAAGACCGAACCATGGGACGGTAAAGACGGGCAAATAATCGAGGAAGACGAGTTCTCACTGGATGAACTTATGGGAGAAGACAGTGTAAGCAAGGATGAGCTGTAGCATCACTTTTAAATCATTTTTCATTTTTACACCTTAGCAAAACAAGAATTCGACCCAAAAAACTTTTTTTTTTTTTCTTATTATGGCGAGTTGTGTATTGCCTCACGAATCTAACATTGGCCATAAGCCCTTTCGGATTCTTTAGTTTATCAGATGTAATATGAATTCAAGGGCAGTTCAGTTTGAGTTGATTTTGCTGTGAATCCACGACAATTGAGTTTGGACGAAATCGCTTAGGTATCAAGTAGAAAACACGTGAACATGCTTATATCACTTGTGTATATTGCATAGTTGTTTATTCAGACATAGAAATATTGTTGTGGTGTATTAGAGGAACTTGTACAGGACATTCTTAACAATATGATCAGCAACTAGTTTGTTAGTATGCTGTGTGGGATGAAATGCGTCCCAAAACACGTACTTTTCTGCATCTGTACACGTGAAAGGGTTTCGTTCGTTGCAAATGTAGCCCATCTCGAATGTTCCGGTCGCACAACACGCTGTTTGAGAGACATCAAACCCTGCAAATAGATAGTATGGAACAGAAAGGAAGAAAAAAAAATAGTTATGGGATGCTAGACAAGACAACATACCGTATTTTGATGGGTTTGTAATGATTCGTAGAAGCTTATAGTAAGGATTGGAGAAAACCAGTCGCAACCCGGGCAACTCCTTGTTTAGCCCCATCACCAAATCACACAACTTTGCATTGAAGCTCATAGCCACCACATTGTAATCTTCCCTGCATTCATTGCCATTGGCCACATTTTGAGCCCTTTCTAAGGGCATACAACCCATAGGGGGAAGCCCACCGAGACTGATCTTACGTGCCCCGAGCCCGTGAAGGTCGTGGATGAAATTTCTAGCAATCCCGATGAGGAATTCTTTGTATTCATCGACCGTGTACTGCAATTGCCTTTGTCTCGGTGGAAAAGCGTAGTAGTTTTCTAGGAAGTCGTTCGTCCCGATGCTTAACATGTGCAATGAATTGGCGATGGTGTTCTTGGCCTTCTTGTCACCAAGATAGGCTCTTAGTTTAGTTTGGTACTCTTTGTAGTACTCCAACTCTTTCCATAAAGGAATCACCCCCTTAAGAATTCATAATATGTGCAATAAGAAACTAAAACTAAAGAGTGTATAGTTCTTCAAAAAAACATTGTCATTTTGTATTCAATATTCAACAATTGAACTGTCTAAAAGCGGAACGAATAGTGCATTTATACTTACTAGCACATCAGAAGTCGCGTTATCATATCCAGTTCCGGCAGAGGCAAAAGAGACTCCCACGGAAAAAGTCGTGATGTTATACTCGGGATCCAAATATGCCGGCACAGTGGGCCGAAGGCCCAATGCCTCCGAGATAAAATCTGTGGCGACCCGCCCGTTGGAAAACCTACCCGTGGGCTTCCCGCCTTCGAAATCACGCCCGTACGGCTTGAAATTGCTCCGGGCAATCGTGGGGACGTAGTTGTTGTTACCGGCGTCGACCGACGAGTCCCCGAACACGATGAGCGCCGGCAATTTGGCTCTTGTTGTCGTTATAAGGAGTAGAAAGTAATGAAAGTATAATAATGTTGTGTATGATAATAATACCTTTGTCATGATGCAGTATTTCTTGTGTTCATTGTTGTTTGTTTGTGTGTGTTGTGTTATATATATGGTGAGCTATTTGGAATTTAAGGCAATTGGTGAGCTACATTTGCAGGACATTTAATTGGCTGGTTTGAATTGTTGCTTCCGTGACCAATTTTTTGTAGGTGGTGCTTAGGCCAATTTACATATTTATATATATATTATATACTTAACTGATTGTTAAATAATTGAAAATTATTAAATGAAAAATTTATTAAGCTGGTCGACCCATTAATATTTTTATTAAATAATAATGCACCTATACAATGAGACGTCGTACTTTGTGTATATTGTTTTTTAGAGTTATATTTCAGTCTATATATATCTATTGAAAAAGTATGACTGTCTAACCGTTAGATCTGTCTAACAACAGTCTTACTGTTTGTCGAAATTATGAAATACATAAAATTACGTTCGTATGTTAGTCCGGCCTAACCTTTAAACCACCGACATTTTTTTTTTTTGTAATAAATGTACACGCTTTCGTTGTAAAATGACATTATTTATAAAATAACATGAACATAAGTACGATACTGAATAGTATAAGTATACATTTTATTGAAATAGTAACATGGGTGGACTTGCCTAACGATTAGGCTGACTTACACTATAATTCGTGAAAAATTATAAAACATGGTCTCAATAGGATTTTTGACCTAATATTGGACACAATGTTGACTTCTAATTATTTGTGCTAAATTCAGTAACAAAATTGTCTGTCAATTGTGTAACTTTAACTAATTGTTATTAACTATGTTAGCAATTTTGTTTTATGCAATTTAAAACATTCAAGTATGGTTCATTATTATTTCTAGCCAACTCTCAAATTATAAGCTATAAAATTTATAAATTGTCTGATCTAATGTGGCTTATAAATGTGGGCTAAATTAGGTTGGGATTGGCTACAAAATGTGGAGATGCAAAGGTGGTGAGTTAAGTCATAGGACCACACTAAATCATAGCACTTCAAAATAATCTTAATCCTAATTTATAGTGCCAATGATTGGAAAATATAAACTATGGTTTGACTTTATTGTAACAACCTATAACTCCTCAATTAGTTGGTAATAATACTAAGGACAACAATATTTCAATTTAATTTGTTAATCTGCAGCAGACATGTTCACGGGCCGAATCGACCCGTGAATCGGTCCCGGCCCGGCCTTGAACTGGCCTCCTAAGAGTCGGGCCCCTAGGGTCGCGATTCGGTCCCGATTCATACTTTTTTTTTTGTCCCGCTGGTCCGGGCCGAGTCGAACGACGAGCCACAATGTTATTTTTTTTAAGGGCCGAGACCCTTGAACCGACCCATACAAATGAACCGACCCATGAACCGGCATTTGGCCACGTCTAATCTGCAGTAGTTGCTACCTGAATGGTAACACTGCAAAAAATAAATATTTATTTCTCAACCGAAAAAAATAAACCAATATAAAATATTGTTTTTAAAACAAGTGTGTGTATATATAATATTAAAAAAATTAATAATTATTTTATTCTAAAATTCACCTTACTCAATTTTTGAGAAGCTCAAATTTAATAAAAATAAATAAATAAATAAACAGTTAATGGATATCCTTGACTACCAATTTTACTCCACCAATTTAAATGGACAAACTTTCTAATTACCACACATCTTATTCCACCACCAATTCACCATGAGAAAAAAAAAAAAAAA